ATGTGATCACTCGATCCACAACTGTTTGTTGGACACTGCTGTGCTCAATTGGTTGTTGGGTTTCGCCCACAAAATACACAGTCAATCTAATTAACAACATATTCTGTGAAGCCTCAATGGCTTGATAAGGCGATATATGAAATGCAAGGATTATTATTAAAATTATTATTAAATCAGACGGGTTAATCCCTCAGGTCAGGTGCTAATACAGTAGCTAATGCCCGAGGTTTGACATTCCAGGTTAGATGGTGAACATATCTTTCCTCCTCTTATTCTCCCCTCAACCCCTCCACCATCCATGCAGATATTATTAACTCTTTGAGACCTTCATTTTGCTGTTTAAACAGGTTCTCAATTTGATCACCACAATAAATATAACGTGTTTTAAGTTTAATGCAGCAGGATGTTATTTGTGCACGTCAGGCTGAAAAATCTTGAACAAAAAGTAATGCAATCAGAACCACTGAAACGCGCAGTCCCAGGCTACAAATCACTGTACTTGCTTGTTAACCTATTATCTTGAGTGCATTCCTTATCCAAATAAATGTACTAAGTATTTCTTTTTGTCAGTAATGTAAATTGCGCGCTTATTTGATATATTTATTCTCGTACCCTGCTTTGAAATGCAGATCTCTTCCAAAAGATTTCTTCACTCTTTGTCCTCAAGGTGTTTCTTCGTTGATGCTTTTATATCAGGCCTCCAGCTGCATGCGTAAGTGGACCGTTGTGCCTTTGCAGCCTTCAATTTAAAAATCTTTTCCATTTTCTGATTTTGTTTTGCACAGTGTGGATTGTACATTCAAGGTGATTTGATATCATATGTCCCACCCATTTGCAAGACTTGAGCATCTTTTTTCCTGATCTACGACTACAAAAATAATGGTAACCGGGATATCAGGTGATTTTGGTTCCAGTCGAGTTTTTTCCCCATAATTTTCTCAGTTTACCTAGCAGTAAGTAGGAACCCGGTTGTTAGTCGATTGACGGATCATTTTTCCAGGGGTAATAATTCCTTCAAAGAAAAATACTAATAATAATTTGGTCACTTAATCCATGACTGTTTGTGGGCACTGCTGTGCGCAATTGGCTGCCACGTTTCAGCCACAAAAAATTCACAGTCAATTCACTTTACAGTATATTCTGTGAAGTGCTTTGAGATGTCTCGAGGACGTGATAAGGCGCTATATCAAATGCAAGGATTATTATTATTACATCAAATGCAAAGATTATTATTATGTTGCTGACTATTCAGCTACTGGGAGAGCTGGCAGCAACAGTGGCATGTGGCAGCTGAACGCGTTCAGCCATCAGCATCTGAAAATAAGTGGCTATGAGGGATTGACCCACCGTCAGGAGGGCAATTGATATCAGACTGGTTGTGTAATTGTGGCAATAGTTTACGGAAACAGGAAGAGCAGCACAAAAGTGAAGCCACTGACAAGCTGGCACTGCTCTTCTTCCCACAGCTGGAAATATCTTGTCTGGTCTGATGACAGGTTTGAGGCACACCATCTCAGGCTCAAATGTAATTGCATGCAAGTCGTGTGCAGTAACTGGAACAACAGTAAAATAACTGAAGCGATTCTTCAGTGTTTCTGCTGCTCTTCCTGCATCCAGAGGCGGGAGGTGACCACAGCAGAATCTGGCTGTGTGTGAGGCACTTTTGTGACCATATACGCATGTTATATATGTGTGTTGATGTGTTCACACACATGCCACCAGTAGCTGCAGCTGACTCTGTCGCAGCCTCAATAGTGAAATGTGCATGTATATCACCTCATTTAGATTACAAGAGACAACAATCCCCCAGTGAAAATTGGTCATTCACTTTGTAGCTGTTTATGGACCATCGCTTATAGAGACTTAAAGAGTATGGGGATAAAACAAGGATTGAATAGGATTGAATGAACTTTGCTCTGAGAGCCGGTGTAGACTTGCTGGGCCGAATGGCCTCCTTCTCTGCTGTAAATTTGTTCTGATTATAAATTGGCTGCCGCTTTCACCTACAGTAAATAATAATAATAATAATCCTTGCATTTGATATAGCACCTTATCGCTTCATTGATATGTCTCATAGTGCGTCACAGAATATATTGTAAAGTGAATTGACTGTATTTTGTCAGCGAAATGTAAATCCTGTGAAGCACGTTGAGCCATCCTCCGGTCATGCAAGGGCCTATAACAAATGCAAGGATTATTATTATAAGTATGCTGCTCCTGTCAGCCCTGCACCTGAGTATGGCATTAATGTGAGTTGCTGTGCATATTTTAGGAATATTTATGGTTAGTGGTGGCAACGATTAAAGTATAAATTGAGAAGTTCCCATAATCCTGATCAAATTTGAATATAATATATTACATTAAGAAAAGATTATGTTTCATGAAGGTGGCACTTTTCTAATAATTCATTTAAAAAGATAGTCTGCTAAAAAGTACTGTTCTTGCATCACAAATATTTCTTCAGGTCCTATGCCCTAACGTCAGTATTGCTTGATATTTCGACTGTGTCTACGGACACCTCCCCTTTCTTCCAGGCTCACAATGCACGCACTGATAAATGCAAGACACTACATATAGGATCCAAGAATAGGAAACACAAATACTCCAATGGTAGGATTGAACTTGCCAAGGGGGAAGCTGAAAGAGATCTCGGGGTGTTAGTTGACTCATCATTCACTATGTCAAAACAGTGTGAGGCAGCAATAAACAAGGCAAACGGGATGCTACACATATCCCAGATGTCATACTCTGGCTGTACGGTGATCTGGTTAGACCACATCTTGAATACTGCGTACACTTCTAGTCACTGTGACATTAAGGGGCTACCTAAGGAGAGCAACGGGGATGATCCCTACAGTTGGAGAAATGAGCAGTAAGCAACAATTAGACGAACTACAGCTCTTCACAAATTACATTTGTTTAGTGCCTTTCATGTCAGGAGGAAGTCCCAAGCCTCTGGACAGTCAGGGATCTGCACCCAATCTTGAGAAGTCTGCTCAGCGTGGGACCTCGTAGAGGTGTACAAAATTTTAAATGGGTTGAAAAAGTAAACTCAACAATGCTTTAGGATGCATCAAGACAATAGAACAAGAGGACATAGGTTTAGAATCAGAAGTTTGTATTTACACATAGGGTAATCAACAACAGGAATGGGTTGCCAGAAAAGGTGGTAGAATTCAGGACACTGGACTCCATTAAAAAGCAGTTTGGTGCAATGTTGAGGGGTTGGTAGGTTGGGTGTTCTAGATTGAATTGGCTGGAGGGCCTTCTTCATCCAGGCCGATCTTGCAATTTTGTCAAACTATGCAATTGTTAAGCCCTCCAAGATGTAACCTCGCATGAAGGAAGTTATACAAATGCAAGTTGCTGTTGTTATTCTATCAAGTAGCAGCTTTAAATCATTGGAAAACAGGACCAGGAGGAGGCCATTCAGCCTATTGAACCTGTTACCCATTTTATTAACATTTAACACACCATTATAGTTATAAGAAAAGAATAGTAAGGAAAATCTGGTGCTATGTATGCATTATACATGTTATTAAATAAACATCAGCAAAGGGTTTAGAACCGTCATCTAATCTCCAAGTTTGAACATACATGGGTTCCTCTTCTCTCTGTAAAATAGCCTGGATCCCTGACTGGATTATTACCTTGTAATTCAACACAAGATATTTCCTTATCTTCTGTAATCTCTTCTGGCAAGCGGTTCCGACTACAACTTGTAGCATAGTGTTCACTTAATATGTCAACTGCAACGTTGAATTGCACATCTACTAAGTATGTTTTTAATATGACACACAATGCACGTCTGACGTAGGATATACAATTTAGTGTGTGGCAGGTAAGTGCCTTCTGGTGTACAGATTGTGACAAAGCAAAGCTTTTACATGAAGTGTATTTAGCTGGTATTTGAAGTACAGGACACAGCTTGTACACTCCATATGACAGGAAGCTGACCTGACACACAATCTAGCGTGCCCTAAATCGGTACATACAGTATAATATCTGCAAAATAGCAAATTGGTACATGCAATGCAAAATGCGCCTGGTATATGAAGTGAAACATCCGGTATGAAATATATTTGCTATGCAGAGTCCTGCGTATACCATGAAGCCCCTTTGTATCCTGGTAGTTGGGATCCTTAAAATCCAATGTTGTACCAGGGCATAACTGACAGTCAGAACTTGTGCATGCACTGAGGATGAGATCAGAAAGAAAACCACTAGCTGACACCTGCGAAGCTAAAGTGGTCGACTCGCCACATGTCATCAAATCACCATCAGTGTTATTTCCTGCACTATGTGCTTATGTGCATTAACCTCAACAGCAACTTGACTGTCCCGCACTGGCAAAGCGCCAACGGAGTAGGCACCGCATGTTTTGGATTGTGTTGGTAAGTAAGCGTAGGGACCAACAACAACAACAAGATTCCATTTATAGAGCGCCTTTCACGTCAGGAGGACGTCCCAAGGCGCTGTAAGGAGGACGTCCCAAGGCGCTGACCACACCCAGTGCTATGAACACATCCACTATATAATGAAGCAACTTATAACGGGGTTCTACTGTAATACGTATATGAAGTAGAGCTCTTGCAAATGGTATGAATAGAATAGGTGCATGTAATTTGACATACAAACTGGAACATTCTGCGTGATATAGTTGATACATTGAACACTATCTAGAATTGGCACCTGCAGAATGACCTACAGCTGAGCTGGTTTATACAGTGGAACACAACATAAAGCAAGTACAAATAGTAGGACATTCAATCTCGCTTTTCATCTTAAATCCTTTATTGTAAATCAAATTGCACTTGAGATAGTGTTGTGTTTAAATTGTGTAGAGCAGAGGTATTCAATGTGGTATAGATTTGTCAGTGAGAACTTGCTCATCAAAAAAAAACAGTTATGGCTTTTCATTCTTTCATTTATTTCTGTGTTCAATGAAATCTGCTTTTACTGCCTTATCTTGAGCACTTTTTAATGCTATCTGTCATCAGATTGAAATGGCGATTGAGACACTCCAAAAGTCTGATGGTTTGACAGCTCACAGAAGCACTCTTCTCAACAGCCATGTAAGTTGCCTCTTCTTTCAAAACTACTTTAATCTTTTGTCCATGTGGCACAAGCCTTCCTCTGACTGACTGCTGCTATTCCTGTAAATTTTGCTTCTGCTGGCTTGCTGCAAGTAACACATTCCCGTTTTGTGTTATTCCTTTCCCCAGCAAAACAAGCTGCTGCATACAACACTATAGCTTAATCTTATTCCATTCATGCTGTGACAGAAATATGTTTACGTCCGTCTTTGCAATCCAAACACAGTTTGAAGTAGTGCAAGTTAAACAGGCTTAATTTACCCCAGTCTATGATGGCACATTTTGGGGGGTTCACCATGAAGGAGAAGTTAGATGATATTAATGTGTTACTTAGGTGGAACCATATACTGCAAAAAATTTCTGGGATTGTATATCTATTCCAGCACAATGAAGTAGTAGTACTGCATATTCTGGCTTACTGGCTTGCTCTGTTAGAACATTGCAAGCCTTTATTGTTTTAAAGAATCGGGGAGCCCTGTACTCCATGGTTTGGTCTGTTAATAGACTATTAATATTGGTGTAAGAGCACTCCAAAATAGGCAATATGATGAGAACATAACTCACTTCACGGCTGGCTGATAAAATAACATGCTCTGGATCTTGATTCAACTCAGAGTCTGACAACACAGCATGGGAGCTGATACTCTGATCACAGCAACAACACTGAACAAACTGATTCTCTCTGGGTGCCTGTTTGATGCTACAGTTAGATTAAATGAGCTAATGTTTACAGTTGAATGAGGGTTGAGTCCCAATTCCTTGGGTCAGCATGTTGCACTTTAAGCCAAGCACAGCAGGTATTTGTCATGTACCTTCCTTTATCCAAATCCTAGAGTACCATTCTCCAATATACAAGCTTAAATAGGGAATAACTAATTTCATGTGTATTGAAGAATCACTGATAGTGCTCTGAATGATCACCAAGATATGTAGCCAGTACTGCCTGGCTAGCATAATCAATGCTTAAAAGAGATATTACCAGAGTAGATCTGACAAAATAGACTCAGGCTGGTAGATGAGTCCAATGGTGAGACATTATGATATTTTAACAAGCGGTGGATTTGAGTCGTCGTGTTTGTTCCTTGACTTTGACTGGAGCTAACAGTGAGTCCAACACCGTATGGGATTGCCTTCTTGTTGGCACAGTTGGGCTAATAAGTCTATTTTTAGTCCTGAATGTTCACTCACAATGTGAATGCAGTACTAAAAATTGAGTTGTAATGTTTGGCAACACTGGAGCCAACTTGCATGATTCTATGATTGTGCTTTGGACTCATTCCAGGAAATGATTAACACAACAATAACCGTACCCTCTTTGGCCTTAATCCATTTGAGAAGTGAAGATAGCACATAGATTCTGATTCACTGCAGGCTGATTAAAACATCACATTTTTCACAGAATTTAAATGAAAGACTTAATTATACCTGTCCTGGAGGGGTCAGATTCTTCCCTCTCCTCTGCCCTGTTTTCACCAAGCCTGCTCGCTACACACAAAAAATAAGTATTAGGTCAGGTGTAAATGATAATTTTCACTCTGTGTATTGTGGAGGAACTATTATTATTTGTTAATTAAGGGTGTTTGAAGAGCAGAAAGATAAAACTGTCCAGACTCCATTTTCCTTCTGCAATGAATTCCAAATATGTGCTATGCTTTTACAGCATTGCCCACTTGGTACCCAGGCAAGCGATGCCTTGTATTTCCTAGTTAACAGCAAACGGTAGTGCAGCGCTCTTGGGATATGCCACCAAGGAGAAAAGTAGAGAGAAAGACCTGGCACTATTAATGCAGTGCTTGAGGCAACAGCACATTGCAGTAACTTCATTTAAAATGATGGGATGCACAAGCACCTCTGTAGACTCTTGATTCCTACATCACACATTGTAATGCCTCCAAATCACATGCAGATGTTACATTGTCATAGTTTTTGTGAGAGGAGAACAGAGCTTCCTGGTTTAAGTACATCAGCAAATCTTAGTACCATTTTGTCTGAGTGCTATGACTTTACGTTTGTGTTCTTTTGGTAGGACCAATAAAATGTAATGTAAGCAGGAAAAAAATATTAAGTTTCAAAGATGTTCTTCACACAAGAGAACTTGTTGGCCGTCAAAATCATGCTGGTGTAACAGATGTCAAAGGAATTATAACAGGCAGGGCAAGTTTTGAATTAAATTACATAGAATAATTAGTTATCTCCCTTGGTGCAGTTTTTCTATTCCCCAGGCCTTATCAACCCTGGATAGATACAGGCTGTTTCCCTACTTTTGCCTTAGGGAAAATATTTCAACTGTTCTCAGAAGCACTGATTTGCATATCAGAGTTTACAAGTAAGATACTAATGGTTTATTACCATAGCACATCTTGCTCGGAAAAGTTAAATGTAATAAGATGTTTTGGAATAGGCAGGGAGTATTATTTATCTTGGTTAAAAAACACTTATTCGCCCACAACATATAGTCAATTCAGTTTAGAGTATATTCTGAGAAGCGCTTTAAGACGTCTCAACAACGTGATAAGGTGCTATATCAAATGCAAGGATTATTATTATTATTATCCAGCCTCCTTCCTCACCTTCAGCAACTCTTGGGCCAGGTGTGGCACATTCTGTTACAACTTCCCTGGTGATCCTCCTCACATGCTGCTGCTCTGTCATGAACAGATAGCTCACTCTATTGCAGAAGACCTGTTACCCGGGGTATTAACTGCTTCAAATTACACCCTTACTATTTCCTTGTGCTCCCAGACCTCTCAGGTACATCTCAAAATGTATCCTTTTGACTGCGCTTTCAGTCATCTTTTCCCCTTTCCCATCCCCCGGTTTGCTCCCGCCCCCAACTCGGGTGCCCACCCAGCACTGTGAAGCGTTTTTAAACATCCTTCCGACGTGAAAGGCACTATATAAATCTAAATTGTATTGTGTTATTGAAATCTGTCACTGTTTTCAATGCTTGGCTTACCAACTCTAGGCCTGGTCTAGAATGAAACACTCACTTTCTATGTGATTTCTCAGCTCAGCAATTTTGCAAGCATTCCTCCTGACTGGCCTATAACAAGGCAAATTGATCTTGTTTCCTCCTGTCCTGCACAGGTGTTTAAATCTTGTTTCACACGGATAGGAATGTTGAGAATACAGAAGATTTGTCCATCAATGTTCTGCTCTTATTTACACAAGTCTACATTACTGCTAAAATTAGCGAAAATAAGAATGTCAAGCCCTTAGTGGCTTGGGAAAATTAAGCAAAACGTATTCCATTCATCCTTTTTAATTGACAAAGCTTGAATCTGTAGGTCATTGGAGATTTAATTAGCTCTCTTTCTGCACTTGAATACCGCATTTAAGTTCATTCCATTTTCTTATTGTCTGCGAATATTACAAAAGACTGTTCGAAAAGCTCTTTTTTACACAGTGCATGATTTCACTCGTCTTTGTCCTCAAACACTGAAAGTTAATCACGAATTTCAAAATCACTAGCGAAACTCCAAAGTTAACTTTTTAATCCCAATCCTTTTCACTTGATGTTGACATCTGAAAGAGCATTGCAGTTCAAAATAGCTGTTTTGCAGCAGTGTTTTGGAAGCAATTCAATTATGCACATTTGTAGAGTGCTCACAAGTAGTTGCGAGTGAGGTTTGATCAGGAGCATTAACTGCTTCATTTACTAAAGCTATATTTTAGGTTTGAACAAAACGTTCCTCTGGACAGCTTCAATCTTATGAATGATTCTAACAACATTATGTAATCTCAAACAGTAATATCGGCGGAAATTTATAAGGGATAGAAAGTAAGATGAAAGCTTGACTCAATGTGGTTGTTATTTAGTCACAATAATCCTTGCATTTGGGTTGACCTTTGATGGCAGTGATCTAGCATGGTTATAAAAAAGTATTACCCAGTTTTTTTAAATATCAGATACATCCTCTTTTCAATATTTCCACATTTTTCTTCAGAATACTAAATTGAGTGAGATTTTAAAGCATAACATGTATTAAACTTGACCTTTGTTGAGAGATCCTATTCCTGGTTGTAGCATCTAAAAAACACTTTAATGACGTAACACCGAATGCCTGACGACAGGAAGAAAAAACTGTTCACATTGCGACACTTTTGCGTTCTCTATGTAGTGTGTGTTCTCTATGTAACATGTTAGCCTTTTAACTAGGAGAAGGTTCCTAGTTATTGTTGTCTGCAGTTTGGTTGCCGTCACAGTCACTGCACTTTATACAATTCCCTGTGGAGCACTTTGTGACGTTTTGACTTTAGGATCACAAGCTCACATGAAAGGATTATAGTGTTGAGAGATGATTGCAAATACAAGCGCCTGGTTCTTCAACAAAAAAGGTTTAGTTGCTTTGAAGATGGAACAAGTACTCTATGATATAAAAGAGTATAACGGTGCATAACCAGGTCTTGGCATACTTGTCAGCGTACACCTGCAGAAGATGAATCTTCTTTATATAATGTAGACTTTAATATTCATGTCAATTACATTTTTGTTGAACACTTTTTTTAATGTTTCATTTAATTAATAATATTTTGTAGTATTTGAATCATTCTCAATATAAGCATGTTAAGATCTTTGTATAAAATGATGCATCAGAAAAATTCAAGAGAGGCGATAACTAATTGGAGAAAAGTTTAATTGAGAGAGATAGCAGTTAGGATTTTTTTTTAAAAAAGAGGTTATACTTTCAGACTGGCCAGATGAACACAGTGTTGGTTGCTGGCCCTGGACGTTCCTGCTATCTACCAACAGGAATATGTCTCAGCTAAATGTGTGAACTCAAACGTTACTTTACATATGAACAAAAGAATTTGCTAGGTGAAAAAATACCAATGTCCATCTAGTTCGGCTTCCACCCTTCTGGGGGTCGCTTGACATGTCATGTCCCAAACTATACACTGTAACCCGAGATATTAATTTCTTGCACAAATCTATCTAATTTGTTCTTGAAACAAATGACATTTTCTGCTTCCACTGTCTCCCTAGGGAGCCTGTTTCACAAGTTTACTACTCTCTCACTGAAGTAGTTCCATAGATTTGTTCTGAATTTATACTCTATACTCACACCTAGCCAGAAAATAAATGGATAATTACTAATACTATTATTTTAACCTTCATCTTTAGCTTCAGTGGCTATTGGACAACTATGAAACAGCTGAAGGCGTCAGTCTTCCCAGAAGCACTCTCTACAACCACTACCTGCGCCACTGTCAGGAACAGAAGCTCGACCCAGTGAATGCAGCTTCTTTTGGGAAACTTATTCGCTCCATTTTCATGGGTCTGCGCACCAGGCGTCTGGGCACCAGGTTGGTTACCTAACCAACATCTTTCAGTTTTATGATTTTTATTCTAATTATTATTACGTTGTTACAGTTCAAATCACAGATGTAGTTTCTAAGTGATTTTCAGGGATGGGTCAGTCAGACCAATAACACTGCCACATTCTATATAAATGGATGTTTTTACTTTTCTTAGTGTGTTTAAACTTCCTAAAATAGTTCCTTTTTGCAGAAGGTTGACATTTTGTGAAGCCATTTTTGAATTGTCTTAACAGTCCCAATTGCACCAATGATTATTAGAAACTACTCTTGCTTTATACTGGCAGGTGTCTGCATTCAATTTCTAGATCGATATATTGTATTTCCTGGTCTTCTCTAGTTCCTTATTTTTCACATTGCTATCACTTGGGATAGCCACATCAATAATAATACATCTACAATCTATTTGATTCTTTGTGATAATATCTGGTGTGTTACAGCTGATTGTCCTGTCTGTATGTACTTGTGAATCCCAGATTATTGTAATGTTGTTTCTCAATGTCACTTTTTTTGGTTGATGTTCATGCCAGTTAGTCTTTACATCAATTAAAGTGTTTCTAAATTGCCCGGTGAATATATTTAGCTACATTATTATGTCTAATAAGACACTCAGATCGTGCTAGGGCCTGGACATGATGACATTATTGGTTTACTGTTTCTGGTGCTTAATGATATATTCTGCATTTTGGATCAATGTTTCTCTTTAAGATCTTATTTTCATAATATCGGGTCGTAATAGCTTTGTCTTATGCCGATAACATGAGAGTTTTGGTTTTGGCCTTCAGATCTCTGTTGGTCAACCAGTCGTAGCTTTGGTTCATATCTGGGAATTCTTCTTTTATTTCTCTTGGACATTGACCATGCCTGATTTTTTTTTCCCATTTGTTTTTTCTACAAGACATTGTTTTCTCTTTAAGGAAAATTTTCATTCCAAGTGCCACTTTTGTTGGTTCGGATGAGCAACTTTCTATTTCTTTTTTTATTATTGTTATTATTGTAGAAAATGCAATTGGCTGCCACGTTTTGCCCACAAAATACACAGTCAATGCCCTTTAGAATATATTCTGTGAAGCCCTTTGAGACGTCTAAATGACATGATAAGGTGCTATATCAAATGCAAGGATTATTATTATTATTATTATAAATGCCTGATCTATTTTAAACCTCTGTTCCCTCAGGGGAAACTCTAAATATCACTACTATGGCATCCGGATTAAACCTGACTCTCCACTGAATCGCCTACAGGAGGACATGCAATACATGGCTATGAGACAACAGCCTATGCATCAGAAGCAAAGGTAATAACAAGCAGTGGCCATACATTAGGGACATTTAGACCATAGGTTGAGAGTCTCAGAGGTTATAATCTTAGCACCTTTCCAAATCTCTTCTTTCTTTGTTCCTTTTTTTTAAAATATGTTGTGTGACACTGATTTGATGATCTAATGTAAGAAAAGAATTTGTAACATTCAAAGATCACCTACTTCAAAATGGTCAAGCTTTCAAAAGGAAGTAGAATGATATCTAAAAAGGAGTAATTTGCAAATGTATGGGCTAAAAGGCAGGTAAATGGAAATTAATAGATTGCTCTTTCAAAGAGAACAGACACTGGGTCAAATGGCCTTCTTCTGTGCTATTAATTTCTCTGGTTCTAAGCCTTTAGTGTCATCATTTAGAGAAAAAGGGAATAATTTGTGACAGCCTGAGTTATGAATGTTGCATTGATAGGGAGATTTATGCATAGTAACAGCAACCATTGGTTGAGGTATCCATTTGCAGCACATTCAGAAAATGGTAGGTTACCTGAGAATAGATTTCAAGGGTAGATTTAGAGTTAGAAGCTGTCAGATAATGCTTTCAAATGCAAAAGCGAAGCTGGAAGGTTTTAAAACCCTGAACACCCAACATCCTATTCCACAATATTAATTATGTTTTGTAATATGTGCTCTTAATTTTATGGAGGTGTTGTCTTTTTAGGGAATGGGGGGGTGGGAGATTTGTGCTCTGTGGGCTTTGCAATTACCCACTTTGTTGCTGAAAGATAATTGACTGGCACATCATTGCTTCATGTTTTTCGCAGGTTTACAGTGTCATATATTATATATGTGTTTATGTGTATATTTTGCTTAGAATATGGAACTCAATTTTGTATCTTTGTTTAGGGAACATAGAAATATAGCTGGTGATTGAACTAAAACGTTATATTTGCACCAACAGTGTAAAAAGGAGAATTTTCTTTAAGCTATAAAGAATAAATATGTTTGCAAAAACACAAATAAAGGCCAAACTTGTAAGCCACTGGTGGCCAATCTTTTTGGTCAGCCAACAAAATAAATTTTCTTGATCAACTGTTTCTCGATTTATGCCATAAATCAGGGGTTCCAACCTTTTGGCTGTCGCAGGCCTGATTTTCCATTTGAGAAAAATCTGCAAGCCACATAAACAATATTTTGTGTTTCCCTTCCAAAAACATAACAACATTTACGCAGCACCTTTTTCGTGTTGGAAGGACATCTCAAAGCAATAAAGTTTATAAGAATAAACATATTTAATAAAGAATAAACATATTTATTCTTTATAGCTTAAACATGTTTTTTTTAATCTCAAAGCGCTCAACACTGTCGGCTGAGCACCTGAGCTGGGGGTGGGAGTCAAGAGAGAGGTGGGAGAGGGAGCGGAAAAGATGACCCAAAGTGTGGTCAAAGAGTTAGGTCTTAACATGTCTTGAAAGAGGGGAGGGAGAGTGCAAGTCGCAGGGATCCAGGAATGGAACTCCAGAAAGCAAGGGCAAAATGGCGATGGTGGGGTAGATGGGGTTGGTGGGGGGGACATGAAGCAAGCTGGTGTTTGCTGGGCAAAGGGAACAGCTGGGTTGGGAGATCACAGAGGTAGGGTGGGGAAGGGGTGGCGGGGGTGGAATGAAGGACAGAGGGGTTTGTCACTGGGGAAAGAGGGAACTTTCTGTGAGGAATCTGCACAGCACATCACTCAGTGTCTGTCCTTGGTCCTCCCCACGGTGGCTGAGGGAGACTCCGTCTGTCTGTCCTGACAGTGAACCATGAAACATTGTCCTCACTTCTCTCTCTCTCTGCTCTCTCGCTCTTTTTGTTTTTCTCTCTCCCCCTCTCACGTTCTTTCTCTCTCTATCATTTCCCCACCCCCACCTCTCTCTCTCTCTCTACCCCCTCTTACGCATTCTCTCGCACACACTCTTCCCCCTCTCACACTCTCTTCCTCTCACACTTTCCCCCTCTCGATCACTCCCAACCCCCTTCTCTCTTACACACTCTCCCTCTCTCAATTACTCTCTCTCTCACACACACACTCTCTCTCACTCTCTTTCTTTCACCCACCCCCCCCAGACTCTTTCTATGCACTCTCAATAACTCTCTCAGTTTCTTTCACTCCTCCCTCTCTCTCACACACTCTCTCAATCTCTCCCTCTCTCTCCCCCCCTCCTTTCTCTCCCTCACCCTCTCTCACCTCTAACTCATTCTCACACACTCTTCCCCCCACCCCCCTCTCAATCACTCTCTTCCCCTTTCTTTCACACACTTTTGTTTCCCCTCTCTCACACTCTCCCTCATTCAATATCTCTCTCTGCTCTATCCCTCTTTCAATCTCCCTCTCTCTGCCTCTCGCAATCATTCTCTCTTTCTCTTAATCATTCTCTATCTGTTAATCACTCTCTCGCATCTCGCTCTCTCCCCCCTCTCTCTCTCACATGACATACTTTATCTCCCCTCTCTCATTCAATCTCTTTCCCCTCTCTTTCTATTCTCTCTCTCCCCCCTCACTATCATCCCCCCTTTCTTCCCCTTCTGCCTCTCCCCCTCTCTCTCCGCCCCCCTCTCTCCTCCCTCTCACTCTCCTCTTCTCTCTCTCCCATATCTCTCTCCCCCTCTCTCCCCTTCGCACTCTCCCCCCCTCTCTCTCTCTGTCTCTCCCCCTCTTTTTCTACCCCTCTCTCTCAACCACTCTCTCTCTCCCCCCCCTCTCTCTCCCCCCCTCTCTCCCTCTCTCTCACCCCCCTTTCTCTCCATCTTCTTTCTCTCTCCTCCCTCCTCTTTCCCCCTCTCTCTCTCTCCCTTCCCCCCTCTCTCTCTACCATCTTCCCCACCCCACTTCCGAATCCTTCTCCCTCCCAATCAGCCACGTGGGTTACTATCTAGCGGCAGGAGCTGGCTGACTAAGCAACTGGTTGCTTAAGGACTCAGTTGGTAAGAGATGCGCTTGCCTTCTTGACAGACTGCAGTAACGGCCAGTATTATTATCACTCTGCGCTGCGTCCTCCCAACCACCAGCTCCTGCCGCTGCCCTGAGAATATTCACCAGGGAGAGAGGGAGCAGAAGTTGGAATGTTGGAGGTGGTCTTGGGCTGGATAAGATCACCCGCCAGACTGTATGCAGCCCGCAGGCCACCAGTTGGTCCACGCTGCCATAAATCAAGATATACTCAATTAAGAAAACCCTGGAAACACACTAACTATCGAACAGGGACTTACCTAGACCTGTGTAAATGTTCAGGGGGCCATTGCTTGACGTGTTATTATATTATACACGAAGAAATGAAAAGGCTCCAGAAACACACATTTGTTTTGTTGTTTTGTGAAGTATTCATTCCTCCTCACTCTTGTTTCTGGAGTACTGCTTATTCTTAATATTGTTTCTCAGGTATAAACCTGTGCAGAAGTTGGATGGAATTGGTGACGGTTTTACAGGAAGTGGCCAACAAATTCCTAACTGTGCAGAGCAAACTATTGTAGCACAAAGTCAACACCATCAGCAGTTTCTTGGTAAGCTAAATCAAAAAAGTTCTTCCATTACACCTCTAATAAAACAACAACAACTTGCATTTATATAGCGCCCACACGCAGGCTAGGGTCCCAGAGTGCTTGACAGTGGCAGAGCAAGATGCCGACCAGTCAAAGAGGAAGGTCTTCAGGCACAACCTGAAGATGAGGAAGGAGGGGGCAAAGCGGAGAGATAGAGGAAGAGTGTTCCAGAGTTTCGGGGCATAGTGGCTGAAAGCACGACCACCAATGCTGGAACGGACGACACAAGCGACAAGTAGATGGTCGGAGGCTGCGGGTAATGGATTGAGGTGTAAGCAGGTCGGAGAGATAGGGAGATGCAAGAGCACGAAGGGATTTGAAAACGAGTGTGAGAATTTAGAAGTCGATCCGTTCGATGATAAGGAGCCAGTGGCGAGAACTGGTGTGATGGGGGTACCGAGTTTAGTGCTGGTGAGTATCTGGGTGACGGAGTTTTGGATTTAATGCTGCTTCCAAGATATGCTTGTATTTTCTGACTTACAAGATATACCGATATTTACGGATATATTCCTGTGAATTTCTGCTGTATTAGAGAACGATTTCATGCATAAAAGTTAAGTTTACACATTTAGGCAGTATAATTTCTACTATTTCTTAATGGGATTCTCCTTATTGTGAAAGCCAACAACTTGCATTTATGTAGCAGCCTTCACATAGGATAACATCTCGGAGCACTTTACAATGTTTGGGTTAGATATTGGTGGTGACCGTTTAGTCCCATTTCTGCTTGAGGAAAAGGGGCGGGCCATGGATAGAGCCCTGAGGTACTCTGCAGGTTACCATGCAAGACTGTGAGTAAAATCCAGGGAGGAGACAAAGTGGAAGCACTTTCTAGTTCTAGTTCAATTGGACCCAAGAGAGTCCAGTCCTTTGGAGGTGGATGAGGAAGAGGAGGCGATCGAGATGATGGAATGGTCCACAGTGCAAAAGTAGCCCAGAGGCAGAGAAGTGGATAAAGACAGGGATTTTATGGATCCTTACCTCGCCTTATAACTGTATTATAAAGCAACACTATCTACAGCAGCGAGGTCAAAAAGAACTGAGCTGCGATTGAAAGAAAACCTAATAACATGTGCAAAGATTTTGGAACACAGATGACTCTACAAAGTATTTTGCTGATTTGAAGTGTGGCTCCATTTACAATGACATATTATATAAACATGCTGGAGTGGACAACGATAGCTACAGAACCAGAAATGAAGTACAGTACAATGATTGTTCAAGTCTTCAGCCTTCCAGACAAGAGAATCACCCCTTTCTCTGAATTTTCCAATTCTGGTAAGTGTTGCATTTTTTTGCCATTTCAAATAGATTAATGTTAGAAATAATATTACAGCAATGTCATAATTGTCTTGCCAATAATAATTCCGTAAAGTTCATGCAGATAATAATAAACATTGCATTTGATATAGCTCCTTATCACGTCTTCGAAACATCTCAAAGTGCTTCAGATGATGTCTTGTGACCGTATTTGTTTCCTGTGTGTATAGTATGTAGATTAATTATTGTTTTTCTGCCTTTGGTGCTTTGGCATAGAGTTTATACATAGTTCAGAGTCAATTATTTATATGTCACTTTGTGTCTCCACAGTTGATTCTTTCACGGTTTTTGGAATTGCTCCAAGAACCAATCAGCATCTCAGACATAGAAAGTGAAATGAAGTGGATGAGACAACTGGCAAAAGGTCACCCACCGTATCATCCAAATAAAAGAGGCCCAGCCTTCAGACGCAATGCGACTTCTCAAGCCACAAGCAGACTCTGCCCCGTGACAGGAGCCTCCATACAACCAATACCGTAAAAACTCTGTGTGAGCTCGGAGAGTTGTACATAAAAGAATCAGGTCACATCAGCTGTCACGACAGGCGGTGTCCATCTTAAAAGCCACCACAATCTGAGAATATACTGAAGTATATGAAGGGTTTCAGTCAGGTATATCAGGCCATTCAAAATATGCCTGATTTTCACCCAGCCACAGTGACATGACAAACCTAATGGAATTTAGTTCAGTGCAGTGGGTACACCAGGTCAATTGTATGTTTATTCTGCCTGCTATTGTGGTTATAAACCTGTTCAGGTGGATACTAAAGATCCCACGACACTAGTTGAAAAGTGAAGGGAGTTTCTCCTGGTGTCCTGGCCAACAATCCTCCAAATAAAATTGGTTATTCACTTCCTGGCTGTCTGTGGGTCTTTGCTGTGTGCAAGGTAACTGCCAAGTTTGCTTTCAAATCCGCAGTAATTCCTGTGAAGCACGTTGAGAAGTTTCGATGACGTGATAAGACTCTGTATCAAACACAAGAATTATTATATATTATAAAACAAGCAGCTTACTTCCTTACTCCTCTGGGATATTGTTTCTTGTTTTGTGCCCTTGCTAGTCAATCAGTGGATTATGGGCAGTGTCCAGTTGATAATGGTGATGTTAAAGTGTGACCTTGAAGAATATCCTTTGAATGATATTTAACAGCTGGCACTCAGGTCTTTGTAAATTCTGAAATGGAGTGAGTGTATATTGTTTTAGAATTTTTAAAAATTATTTGTTTAATCGTGTACATATTTATAAATCCAATTTGGGACTTTAATAAAATGTTGGGGTGAAAAAGGTAGCTTTCAACACTGGTAATGATTGTTGAAAAGTGCAATCTAAACAGTCACAACACATGACATTAAATCCTGTGAAGAGATTTGAGACATATTCCCAATGTGAAAGGCACTACATGAAATGCACGAATAATTATTATAATACGACAGGTTTGGAAATGAACCACCCCCTCAACTTTTCACAATGATTTTGAGCAGATCCAAATTCAATTTCACGCACCTGTACCAGTGTTTGAATCCTGCTTAACAGGATCCTGCTTGTATATAAGGTGGTATGCTACACTATTTTCTGGCTGCATTGGAATTTCCCTGTCACAAGAATAAATAGTGCTGAAATCTTTGGGCCTGACCAACCATTGTGACTTTCTAATCAATCCATCTGTCTTTAAAAGCTTCCTAAAAATTTACCTCTGACTCTGACTACAAGTCACCTCCACCCTCCCTGTTCGGTGTCCAGCACCAGCTCTGTAAAGTGCTTTGAGACATTACAGGCACTATTTAAATGCAAGTTGTTATATTTTGCAAAGTGCTTGAGATGTTTATTTAATCTGTTAGTATATACTGTAAATTCAAGTTATTACTTTTACTGCTGATTATTTTAAATTTATTTAGCATGAAATATTCTATTATTTTTTCCAACGCATTATCTAGTATTTGGATGTTGCAGTATTCCACGCACATTTGATCCTGAAACGCAGATCATAAGAAAACTAACAATGAGATGAAAAAAATACTGAGTGGTTTGAGGGGCAATTGAAATATTGTATGTACCATGCAATCTATTTTAAGGTTAATCTAGCATATCAGTGCATTACTGTCCAAACTACTGAATCCATGTTTTACCATGAAGCTAAAGGTCTTAACTTGTAAATGTGTATGAATATTTATTAACTCTCATATTAGGTAGAATTCAAACCGGTTAACACTTAAAATTCTGAGAGGTTTATTTATGATCTCTTTCTCCATATTACTTTAGCATTTAGCCATTGAACTCCAAATGGCTTTTTAAGTCATTAAATTAAAAATTAAATCTGATCTACTGAACTGCATCTAAATCAATCTTATTTTGCTGAATAGATGCATCTCGAGCACTTCCAGAGTTTGTAGAACTCGAGGTTGGAGACAGCCCCTTGTTGGACGGTATTGCACTTGAGGACATCAGAACACTACAGATTCTTTATCGGGAGCACTGTGAGGTACAGAACTAACCGTTTAATGGGTCTTCCATATTATTCTATATATATATTCTATATATATATTCTAGTATGTCTTCCATATTAGAATTCTAGCGACTCATGGGAATGGATCAAGTCAGAATGAAGTCTCTGAAGGGCAGCAAAACATATCTATGACTACAGAAGGAGAACCCATTTGCAGAACAATTTGCATTCCTTGTCAAGGTTTCCTATTAATCCCCATTCACACCTTCATTACTTCTAGACTCAATTTTTCAAATGCCTTCCTCAACACCCTCCCTGGATCTTAAAAGCTCTAGGTTGTTCATAGCTTGGCTGCCCACCTCCTTACCCACACAAAGCTTTTCATACTCATCACCTGTGTCCTCACCAGACTCCTCTGTCTCCCTGTCTCCCAGAAGGTAGACTTCAAGATCCTCACTGTCACTTACAAAATCCTTTATGCCCTCATACCTCCCTATCACTGATCTTCTCCAGACTCACTTATCTGCTCATCCCCTCCACTCAGATAACTCAGGCCTTTGAAAGTTCTTCACTCCCTCTGTCCACCATTGCCAGCCAAACTTTCAAATGCTACCCTCTGGAACTTCTTCCTTCAATCCCTCTGTCTCACCCCTCTATCCGGCTTCAAAAATTGTCTTTACACCTACTGTATCTCTTTGTCCATGCTTATAGTCACAACCCCCCCCCACCCCCCCGGCTCAGTGTCCAGTACTGTTTCTGTAAAGTGCTCCAAAATATTATTCTACATGAAGCTTGGTACAAGTTGCACTGTTGTTGAGAAATACTGTACATTAAACCTTTTTTAGATACTTTTACAGTAGATTTTGTGTCAAAGACATACAGGACTCAGTACTGAACAATACATCCTTGTTCATTCTCATAGGAAACACCAAGCTTCATTGAAGCAAACCCAACTTCTAAATTTATTGTTTAATTTGGTTTGTTTTCTGCAAAGTTAACACGACTATCTGTCTGGTCTGAATTTGTCATTTATAATTGAAGTCCTGTGTTTTCAACGGCGAATAATAATCATTGCTTTAGGTGCTACTGTTGATTTTTCTTATGTCTCTTTAGGCAATACTGGATGTTGTAGTAAATCTCCAGTTTAGCCTCATTGAAAAGCTGTGGCAGACATTTTGGCACTTCAGTCCCTCACCTTCAACTGATGTGAACACTATCAATCAAGCCAGGTAAGTTTCTAATAAAAATAATAATAATCCTTACGTTTGATTTACAGCGCCTTTCATGTTGGGAGGATGTCTCAAAGTGCTTCCCAGGATTGATACTGTAGTAACTGTACATTTTGTAGCAACTTCAACTTTCTTACTTTAGTCCAGTTTTATTGATTTGAAGCACTTTCTTTATATTCCGTGTGTTTTTTCTAAGTCTCTATCAGCAGCCTAGATGGCAAGTAGACAAATAGTCCCAGTTTTTTCCTGTGCCATTAGGCTTCTTTTAGGAAAGCCTCAAACACATGTCACCAACAAAACAACACTTTCAGAGTCACTTGTCTTCTCCCCAACTTGCACATTATACAGTCTCCTACTGCTCTAAACTATTTCCACTGATATGTTACTCTTTTAGCTTTTTTTAAACATAGCTGACAATGCGTATATCTATCAACGCCACTCCAGGGTTGACTCCTTGGACTTGAATGAGCGTGACCCAGGATGCGTTATCCCATCCCTCCCTCTGGAACTCTGCTCAGATGTCAAACTCAATTCAAACTACTGTGAAGCCAGCCTGTGAGGCTCCTGGTACCTGGTAGGAGAGTGGTATCCGAGCAGAGATCCAGAGAGTCGACTTGAGACACATCCAGATACTTGCGGGATCCGCTAGTCCCGAATCTCGGAAACTACACACCTGTAAAGCTAACACCATTCATCGTTTTATAAATTGTGAGCACATTTTTTTTCCTTTCTCTGAAGTAAGCGTTTTAAACATGATTCAGCTACTACGGACAAATGCACGTACATGTCTATGGAAATCGAACATCATCTCTTCAGGCCTTGTTAAAAACTATGTTATACAATAAAAAATCGGCATTACCCTTCCTCCCAACAAATAAATCCAGTTTCAATTCCTTTTGAAACACCATCTAGGATACTGCAAACACCTCAATCCTGTGACACAGGACAGCTTGTGCGTGAATCCAAAGTCTGCAATTATTTTCATTTTCTTTTAATTGTAGACGAGATCTGAACCCAGGTGATCAGGGTTTATAGAACCGAACTGTGTATATGTCTAGGTGGCACATTAACAGGAGGTAGCATTTGAATACTAATGTTTAATTTATTAGGAAAAATAATACAAAATGTTGTTAACTCATTAATATGCTCCCCTTTCACTCCTCCACTCCTCCAGTGATTCCCACTGATTCCATGTGTCTCTGAGGCCCCCTCCTGCGTGCTCAAGGCATGTTTCAAAAAACATCTCAGATGGCTCTTGCTCTGAATGAAAGAGAGATTCCAAGAACGCTGCTTGAAGTTGGTGGTCATGTCAACCCTTTTCCCATTATGAAAAGACAATGCCACCAAAGGAAGTTTGTTGTAACCAATTAGTTTGCTGTGTATAGTGCAGCCCTCTCTTAACATGTCTCCTCTTTACACCTCAAATATGTTTATAACAAGGTTGCAGTGCAGCCCCATTAATGCTACATGTAGACACAACTTTCAGAAGTTCTATCTCCACTAGCAAATCAATTACTGTCAGTGTGGCCACATAATCACCCAAAATATACATTCAATTCACTTTATAGTGTATCCTGTGAAGCACTTTGAGACTCGACAACGGGATAAGGTGCTATCTAATGCAAAGATTATTATTATAATCAGGCCTTTATAGTAAATGAAACCAAGGATAAGAGTGCATCATTTTTCACTGTAGCTTTAGTTGTTAATAGTCTGATTCTGTCTCTCTTTCCTCAGTGAGAATGAAATAGAAGGTAGACTCCCAAAGGCAAAACTTGTTGCCCTGTGCAAAAATGATTCCGTCCTGAAGTGGATGTGTACCTGTGATCATGTAATGTACCAGGCTCTGGTGGAAATCCTTATTCCAGACGTCCTTAGACCTATTCCTAGTGAGTACTGTTAGAATTCATTTTATTTTTAAAATGTTGCATTGTAACAAGAGGTAAAAAAATAATCAAACTGATCAGAAGAGACTTTTAGATGATGAAATGAATCCGGTGTACAGCCTCAAACACCCTTCCTGCTAACCGGTTCCAGCTACAATAACAACAACTTTATTTATATACGTCTCTTCACGCCATACAGTACCTCAGAGCGCTTAACAATGGTGGAGCCCAATGCCAAGCCAGGGGAGGGGGAAGGTGACCGTAGGCACAGTAGAAAGACGAAGGTCTTCAGGCACAACCTGAAAATGGGGGTAGGTGGGGGGGGGGTGGGGCAAGGTGAAGGGATTGAGGGAGAGAGCTCCACAGTTTTGGGGCATAGTGGCTGAAAGCACGGATGCCGATGGTGGGGTGGACAAGGAGGAGGTTGGAGCCAGTCAAGCGGAGGCAGCTATTGATTCTGTAAAGAAATTTACCTGATGCCTGTTCTAAATTGCTTTCACAACCCTGAACTTGTGACTTCTTGTCCTGCTGCCTTGGCATATCTGAGAGTATTGTTCCAGGTTTCCTTTAATCCCATTAACCATCTTATAAACAGTAAGAACCTGATATCTGCACTGATTGATACGTCTCTGTTGTGGACATAATAACAACAACAATTTACACTTATTTAGAGCCTCTCACATTGGGAGAACATTTCAAAAGCATCTCAAAGCATTTTACAAAAGCTGAACGGGAGCTCCAGCTGGGAGGGAGCTCTTGGTTGGGGGGAAGTAAGTGAGGTAAAAACAAAGTGAAAAAGGTAGGTCTTCAGGTGAGATTTGAAGAGGCGAGATAGAGAGAATTCAGGAGAAAATTACAGAGGGAGAAAGCAAAGTGGCTAAAGGCTCATCCACTGATGGTGGGGCGGAGCGGGCAGGGGGCAAAGAGCAAGCTGGAGTTAACAGCAGAGAGAGTTTGATCACAAGATTGCAGAGCTAGGATGGTGCAAGATAGTGGAGGCATTTGAAGATGAGGATGATCTTAAAGTTGATCTGCTGGAGAATAGTGTGCCAATGGAGCCAGACGATGATGGGAGTGATGGGCTCGTGGAGCTTGGTGCAGGAGAGGATTTTTACTGCACAACAGCAGTGGCCCTGAAGTTGAGGTTAGAGCTGGAAAGGTAGAGTTGGCTATCATCCATATAGAAGTGGACCCCATGTCTGCGCTTAATGTCATCAAGGGGGGAGCAAGTAAATGAGGAAAATGAGAGGATCAAGTGAGGCCTGAGCAATGCCCCACTTGACCTTGCGGGGGCGGGAGGAGAAGCTATTGAATGAGACAAAGTGGAGACACTGGGACAGGTAGGAGTCAAACCTGTAGTGGTTCTCTACATATGGCGCTATGGATTCTCCACATATAAAATGCAGCTTCAATTGCACTTGAGGCGATATAGTCACAACTAATTCCTTTAGGTCTTGCAAGCAGCGTGTTACGTTTTTGGGTAGTAACTTGAATGTGGAGAAAATGGGCCGCCACTCAGCCTTTATAGCAAGTGGGTGTCTGAGCATCAAACATATCAACGCATGCCAAAATCATAACACTATGATAAATTGCCCATGCTTCCCATAGTCAGTGATCCAACATAAGCTGGTTCATGGTTGTATTGAGGATGCTGCACTCACATCATGAAGTTCCTACAAAGTAGATGAATGATTCTTTCTTCTGTATCTAAAACCCTAGGTTGGAGCAATGAGTGAAAGACCTCTGTGCAAAGCAAACAGTTTAAACTACTTAAAATAATATCTAATGCTAATTTTTACAGACCTTATTTTTGTGTGTTTTTCTAAACCATTGTTAGGTGCCTTGACCCAAGCCATTCGCAATTTTGCAAAAAGCCTCGAAGGATGGCTGACAAATGCCATGAACAATATTCCACAGCAAATGGTTCGCACCAAGGTAAGTGCTTGGAAATGTCACAGACCAAACCAAATACAATTGCAAATTCACACAGCTATAGAGCTTAGAAGTTACAAGGTTTTCTAGGATGGATTTCAGGTATGTTGTATTATGTAGTTCATTCATTACACTTTTTTGATAAACATTGAATAAATGTTACTTCAGCCTTTCTTTGCACCTAACATTCAGGCGTATGATGTTGCGATGCATAAAGGACATTTCTCCATATTCTATTTATGATAAGTGGCGTGGCATTTGTGTGACTTTTAAAGCTTTTTAAAAATGAATTTTGATCTCTGTGGGTGCTTTTTTTTAAAAAAAGGTCTGAGAATATGTTTCCAGTCCTGTGATGAAAATCTGGTTTAATGTATCTCACAGATTATTTTATCTCCTTGAGCATTTATTATGCTAATTCTGAACTATTGCAGAGTAACCTGCTGATCGGATTGTTCCCTTCATAGTAATGAAATGCCATAAAATTCAGCATTGACCTTATTTACAGGATGTTTCTTTGTTAACTTCTGTAGCTTGAAACTAGTCTACAAAGTAGCTTAGATCATCATTTTATCTATGAAATATAGTGTTTGGATTGCACGTCACATAGTTTTTTTATGACCTGTGATTTGTGGCCTGGCATGACTTTCTCACTGCTACAGCCAGTATATTTGATTTGAGAGTGAGTGCGCTTTCTTTGATAGGTCTGTGGCAACTGTGCAAATCCAGAGATTGCTGAATCCAGGTGACTGATATGAAGCCAGAATGCAAAATGCAGAATGCATCTGTCATAAGTACATTCTGATGACTCACTTCTCGGCTAGCTTTCAGACTATGTTGACACAAAAATCACATTCTATCTCACTAAACACTGACTAAACTATCCTCCGTGATTTCACTGAATCATCCAGTGATTAACATCTGGCACAACACTAAACAAACAACAACAAACAACAGCAACAACAAGATTACATTTGTATAGCGCCTTTCACATCGGGAGGACGTCCCAAGGCGCTGGACAGTGTACAGCATTTCAGACCCGAGCTGGGGTCAGTGGGGAGAAGGGAGGGGAGGGGAAGGGGGGTGGCTAATGGCATTGTTGAAGAGGAGGGTCTTGAGGCGGGACTTGAAGGAAGCTAAGGAGGGGTTGAGGGGGAGTGATTGGGGGATGAAATTCCAGAGGTTGGGGGCAGAGTGGCTGAAGGCTCTCCCGCCAATGGTGGGGCGGGTGGGTCAGGGGACATGGAGCAGGCCAGAGCCGGCTGAGCGGAGGGAGTGGGGGGGTCCGGAGGTCACAGAGATAGGGTGGGGTGAGACCATGGAGGGCTTTGTAGGTGAGGACCAGGATCTTGAACTGGATCCTCTGAAGGATAGGATAAGAGACATGGAGCAGGCCGGAGTCTGCAGAATGAAGGGAGCAGACAGGTTGATAGGGGGTCAGCAGCTCAGAGATGTAGGAGGGGGCAAGGCAGTGGAGGGCCTTGAAAGTGAGGACGAGGGTTTTGATTTCTATCCTCTGGGGCTGGGAAGCCAGTGGAGCCGGGCGAGGGTGGCGGAGATGGGGTCACGGAGCCTGGTGCAGGAGAGGACACGAGCTGCAGAGTTCTAAATGATCTGCAGCTTGTGGAGGGAAGAGTTGGGAAGGCTGACAGGGAGGGAGTTTCCGTAGTCGAGCCTTGAGGTGACGAACGGTTGTATGAGGTTTCGAGGGCCTGAGGGGTGAGGCAGTGGGGAAGTCGGGCAATGTTGAGGAGTTGAGAGAAGGCAGAGCGGGTCATGGCACGGATATGGGGGGAAAGGAGAGTTGAGGGTCGTACGAGACGCCCAGGTTCCTGACTGGCTTGGTGAGGTGGAGTGTGGAACCGTGGATGCTGATGCTGTTAGTGCCTGAGGTGCGGAGGCGCTGGCACAAGCCAAACAGGAGGGCCTCGGTCTTGCTGACATTCAACTGTATAAAGTTGGCTCTCATTCAGGACTTGATGCCTGACAGACAGTCTGTCAGGAAGTCAGTTGTCCTGGAATTAAGGGTGGAGGCAGAGAGATAGAGTCAGGCGTCATCTGTATACATGTGGAAGTTGACCCTTGTCTGTAAACAAACTAACAGACGGACAGCAAATAGGATCATACAGTGATGTGAAACTGGCAGAGAAATCTTAAATGGGAGAGCAGACAGAGGGATTGAATTAAATACTTAACTTAATCCACAAAGTAGTCAATTGAGATGTTTTTCAAAGTAAATGTGTATTTTAAGATTAATATTAGTATTCTGGTCTAAATCTCATCTGCACGGAAATTGATACTTTACAGCTTGTTGCATCATTGTTACAAGTTTCTCTGCTACAATAAACAATTCTGTATATTCTTTATAATATACAATACTGAAGGATTATAACTTCCTGCTTTTCGTCTGCGTTAGATGTTGTTTTGGGACAATGTGTGGAGCACATGGGAATTCTGTTCTGACAGGGTTGAGGTGTTTACAGTGAGTGCGCATACCCTCATACTAGTGGGAGGGTTCACAGTGCTGTTGTGCCCTCATTGTACAATTTTCTAGCAGCTTTGGCACCACAGGGAGATGAATAATTGTGCTCTCAGTGACCTACAATTTGCTATCAACTGCTGGAGCACAGAATTATTATTTGGATTCAATGTTTCTCGTGTTTTAAGAATTTCAGCTTTTAGGATTTTTCTGACAGACTGATCAGTTCTTATTCTGGATTCCTGTCCTGATATCAAAAATTCATTCCGTATTTTTATTTTTAAAGTAAACACTAGATTTATATCTGGCCAATGAATGCTACTGAGATGAAAATTGACTGCGGACAAACAAAGCAGCTAACAACGGTATAGTACCGTAATGAAGAGGGGAAATCAGGGAGAGGTGGGTAAGAAGGAACAGTTGAGAGTGCACAACATAAACAGACTATAAGTATCATCAGGTGCATGAATTATGCCTGCTTAGAGGATGAAAAAAGATGTCATAATGTTATCAGGCAGGGTGAAGATGGGAGTCCAGAATCAGTCTAGAGCTTTCTGTCACTTGCTTTAACCATCTCACCTGTTTTCTGGTAGGTTGGAGCTGTAAGTGCCTTTGCTCAGACGCTGCGTAGATACACATCCCTCAATCATTTGGCTCAAGCTGCTCGAGCTGTGCTGCAAAACACATCTCAAATTAACCAGATGCTCAGTGACCTCAATCGTGTAGACTTCGCCAATGTCCAGGTAAGTGTTGGGAGGTCTCTAACAGTGTCACATAACTGAACACGTGTCAGCTGGGTGCACACTTACATGGCATAATTAAATACTTCCCACCACAATATCAGTCTGGCTCAGTTGCTAACACTGTCACCTCTGAGTCAGAAGGGTGTTGTTCAAGGCCCACATTGGGATTTGGAACTTATAGGAAGTGACTTCGGCAGCAATCGCCTGACCCAGAAGTCAGCCCTTTTTTTAGCCAATGGGTCAAAATGTCCGACTTGTAGGACATTCTATGAAGCACTTTGAGACATCTCGTTGATGTGATAAGACAGACACTATATCAATTGCAAGGATTATTATATTACTATATTATGTTGCACCCCTCCCCATGACTTCCTACGCGCTGCACAGTGCACACAACGTGATAGCAGTGACAACCAGTTGACCCTGAAGTCAGCTGTTTAGCTTCTCTCATGCACACCTGCCAGTGTTTTGAAGCTTTGATGGAGTCAGCACTCCACATTATGGATTTTTTGATGAGGTAAATGTCGGCTGCCACTCCACAGCTAGCGACATAGAGAAAATCTATTGTAATGAAGTTTTAATGCATTCACTACACAAAGTTGTTAACGCTATTCTCTAAGGTTCAAAACCTTCATACATATTTATTTCAAGGTTTCCTTATTTTATAAAACTCCCTCTCTGATTTAGCACAAAAATCTATACCCATCCTGCTGATTTTCTCGCCAAGTTTAAAACCTTTGATTGTTTCATTTTTGTCAAGAACCAGCACTTTAGGACTGTAACCAAGGTGTTACAGCATGTGAACTCTGAAAAAATCTCCACTTGCAGCCTTTTCATGCAGTAACATGTTTGCGCAGTGCAGTGACTAAAACCAGAAGAATAAATAATCAGTGGTTACTACTGCTGGATATACCCCAGTCCTGAAATAATGAGGTGAAATTATTCATCAACTAAACCTACAGTTTTCTGTTCAATTGCATTTGAATACAAATCCTAGTAGTGGGAGAATACAAATTACTGTGGGTTGGGCACTTGCTGAACACTGTTGATCAGGTGTAATTGGGCGAAATCAGCTCAAATGGAAACTTCTCAAGATTCCATGTGATAAAAGCCAGATTGTCACTGTGTGGGAAAGGGTTATTGAGTAGAAAGAAATCTGGGTGAGGAAGGGAAAACCAAGGGGCCAGGGATCCTTGAACATGTTCAGTCCGTGTATGTGTTCAGCTGTGCATGTTTAGCCCATGTGCCTGATGAAGCTTGTGCATGTTGAAAACTAGGCATGTTGAAGTCTGTGCATCTAATCCAGTGTATCATTGTGTTTCAAGCCTTTGTGTATTTAAACCTGCATGTGTTCAGTCAACATTTGTTTAAACTTGTGCGCGTTTGTTTAAGCCTGTGCGTGTCTGTTAAACTTGTGCGCGTTTGTTTAAGCCTGTGTATATTCATTTTATGCGTGTATAAGACTGCGCATGTTTAAGCTTGCAGGTGTTCAACCAGTATGTGTGTAAACCCGTCTGGGTTCAACCAGTGCATGTTTAAGCCTGTGTGTTTAAGCTTGTGTGTGTTTGTTTAAGCCTGTGCATGTTTGTTTAAGCTTGTGTATGTTTAGCTTATGCATATTAAACCTGCACATGTTTAAGCTTGCACATGTTGAACCAGTTTGTATTCAAGCCTGTACAAGTGCAAGTCTGTGTGTGTTTAAACTTATATGTGACTCAGAGGGACTTTAAAGAAAAGAATAATAACTAAACAACATGGGGCAGGGAAAGGGAGATGGGAGATTTACTTGTATCCCCGAAAAGAGATATTCCCGTTCACTACAACTATCTGAAAAGGAACTCCCTGAAAAACTCATCCCACACACAAGAAGCATTATGTAAATGTTGACAATCCATCTATACAGGTTCTGTGTTTGTATGGTGGACTCTTGGTTTGCCTCGCTTACAGCAGTAGTATCTGTTATTTGAGAACGGTTGCTAATTGAGGAGCTCGTATTTGAGCCGACGTTTATCTATGCAGCATCTTGCATTGGCAGAGCAGCTGTTTAAATAGCATAACGCTCATGTAGGCACCATCTAGCTCTGATACATAACAGCATATAGCATACACAGTCAATCCATTTTACAATATATTAGTGAAGTGCTTTGAGAAATCTCAACAACTTGATAAGGTGCTGTATCAAATGCAAGGATTACTATATGTCCTGTGTGAGACACCTGACAATTTATGCGTCCATACCTAATATACAGAATTAAGCTGGTCATTGGTGGCAGTGAAACCTACTAGAACTGAGCACTGAAGATTTTTTTCCCCTCCAACTGTGTCACACAGCTGTGCCTCTCTGTCTGTTACTAATAGGGTAATAATACATATAAAGCCAATGTTTCTTGTGCTGTGACAGGAGCAGGCTTCCTGGGTGTGTCAGTGTGATGACAGCACCGTACAAAGACTGGAACAGGACTTCAAGATGACTCTTCAACAGCAGAGCACTCTGGAGCAGTGGGCTGCCTGGCTTGACAATGTGGTAACACAAGTACTGAAGCCATATGAAGGGAGCCCCAGCTTCCCCAAAGCTGCCCGTCAATTCTTGTTGAAATGGTCCTTTTACAGGTAAGTCCAGGACAAGAAATAAAAGCACATTACATTGGCACGAATCATCTGAAGTCATTGTTGTATGCAAATTGGTTACCATATTCGCCTACAAAACGCACTGTCACTGCACCCTACAGTATATCATGTGAAGCATTTTGGGACATCATCCCAATGTGAAAGGCACGGTACCAAATGTAAGCATTATTATTATTAAGAATCATAACCTTTCACTCTTAATGCACATTATAGTCGCCTAGTCACTTTTACTCTCCCTTCTTTCTGCTCTGCACACCATACTCTCTGCCTCCCTCGGGTGTATTGTTCCTTTCTTTCTTCCTGGAGCTGTGATTCTCCCCTGCCCATTATTCACAGTTCAACGCCGCTTCTTCCCTGGGGGCATTTTGTTGTTATACTGGCCAATGCCCACACTGAGTTGCAAACAAACAGCCCATCAGTAAACTATGTGAAACTCATGAGAAATAAAAATATCTAGCCATGTTAGTCGACTCATCACTCATTGTGTTCGAACAGTGTGAAGCAGCAATAAACAAGGCAAACAGAATGCTGGGCTATACTGCCAGATCAATTGAATTCAGGTCACCAAAAGTCGTGCTCAAGTTGCACAATGCTCTGGTTAAGCTTCACCGAGAATGTACTGTGTACAGTTCTGGTTGGCAACACATAAGGGGAATGACAGGTCATGGAGGCAATGCAGAGAAGAACAACAAGGATAATCCCTAGTGTTAGAGGGATCAGATATGAGAATGACTAGACAAGCTAGTATTCTATAGTCTTCAGAGATGATTTTATAGAGATGCATAAGATGTTAAATGAAATTGGAAAAATAAACCCAGAACAATACTATCAGATATGTCAAGGCAGCAGACAGACAAGCACAAGTTCAGGGTTGTGAAAGGCAATTTTAGGGCCTGAAAGTATTTCTTGAGATAAAAGATAATTAACAACTGGAACAAGAGTGGTGGAGGTTGCAACAACTCATTTAAAACATAATTGGATGCTGTAAATGTCAGCTCTCTGAAAAGATGTGATCAAATGGACAAACATTGTATTCATCCAAGCCCTGCTTCCAATTATGGGACATTACAGACCCTGTGATACTATTTGAAAAGAGAAAGAAGATTCTCCCAATGTCCGAGCCAACAGGCTTTCCGATGTATTGGTCTTTCACTTGTTTGTGGAGTTTCCTGGCACAAGTGGTTGCCATTTCATAATAATCCTTGGATTTGACATAGTGCCTTATCACAACGTCGAGAGGTATGAAAATGCTTCACAGAATGTACCGTAAAGTGGTGTGACTGTGTATTTTGTGGGCAGACTTTGCAGCTATTTTGTGCACAGCAATGTCCCACAAACAGCCATGGAGTGAGTGACCAATTTTATTTGGCGACTGTTGGCCATCATTATAGTTGACATTTTAACATGGTAGTGTGCCTTAAAAAAACAATTATTTCTTCTCTCCTCAGCCTTGCTATTAATCTTGATGAAGCTTGCTCAAACCCTCCCTCCCCCACTTCAGCCAAGCAGAAGTTGAACCAAGTGGGCGAATGCACATTATTTTATATTACAGCTTGCTAGCTGCATCCTGAAATAGACAGAAACATGGATTGAGGCAGCGAGGTCCCTATGATCTAAATCAAAGAGCTTTGGACTATGGTCCATGATTTTGGAATGCCTGTAGTACACTATGTTTTACATTACACAGGTATCACAGTCTAAGAAATGTCAATGTCAGTGCATCAAGTGTAGAACCCTTAAGCAAGCAGCTCAACCTGAGCTTATCAGAAAGAAATTGTACATGATGTATGGCCTGAACATGAACCTTCTGCCTACGTACTTGTAATGCAAAGGATCAGTGCAATAACTCGAGCGTAAAAGCAGATGAATCATGTCTGAAATCATTGTCAAATAGCACTTGACATCATGAGATGATTTTTTAGGCCATTATGCAGCACACTGAAAGGAAACTCATTCAGCATTTTGCAAATAAACCAATAAGGTAGAAATATGAAAAGGAAGGAGCACTTGTGTGCTATTGGCATTTATGTGCTAATGGAATCAAGATTGTGGTTTTCCAAAAGCATTCTGTTCCTAATTACCACTGGCGCTAATAAAGAAACGTACAGAAATCTCAGTTGAAAAGTTTGAACCTCTGTTTGAGACCAGGCTTGTGACGCACAGTATAAAAATATCCCCAGGTCAGTTCTTCCAAATTGCCGCAACATTGCCACTGATGTCATTTCCTGCGTGCAGCACACATGAAGGTGACAATCACCCTCGCGAGTGTTTTTGGGATTTGCTAGGAAACCACTGGACCCTGGGAGGCCTTCTGTGCCTGTGTGCAGGAAGCCAAGTGAGTTAGCACCAAAAGTTTAGATAATTTCTGCTATAATCACATTTCACAGCACGTTTAAGCAAGGTCATGTTATAATAGGGTTGGCCTCTAATATATTTTTCCTTCAAAGTGAGTGGGTGCGTTTTGCTATAGGCAACTCAGATTTCCTTCAGAGGCAGGTTCTGGCAGGTTAGCATGATATACGTGAGGTTCCCTACAGGAGACACTTTACAACCCGAGGGATTCTATTTGGCATTGAGGCACCGTCTGCTCCCACTTTCCTGACGAGCACTTTTTTCAAATGCACCGTATTTGACTTGGCTCAATATAGCTGATTTAAATACTAAAATAAATTTTCTTCAGGAAGATGCTATTTGTTGAAAGTTTGTTTATATCCTTTTTTTTCTCTCTTCGGTTCTCTTGCCTTGCGCAGCTTCCCTGGTCAGAAGAGTGGGTAGATCACCATCTGGCATGAGCCAGCCTCCTATGGGGTGATGTGTTGTCAAAATGTCATGTAATGGGAATGATTACCAACTCTGGCTTGCAAAAACAGGGCATCAATTAGGACAACACTTTACTGTGTTTCACCACATAAAATTACGCTTAAATGCTAAAATTGCACCTATAAACCCTATTCGGTGGTCAATAATAAAGGAATCAGATCCTAGGAGCAGTGAGCCAAATAGAAAGAGGTGGGAATGGTGTGCGGTGGGAACAGGAGTGGAGACTTTAGTGATGGAATTTGGTGAAGGGAGTGCTTATATCAAAATAAGCGGAAATATAGAAATAGGAATCAACAGGAATTAATAAGAAGCAGATGAGAAAACCTAACCAGCTTTGTTTAAAGTTAAACTTCAATGAAAATGGAATACCTTGTATATTGCAGCAGGTTGCACTCAAGGCTGAAGTTGTCAGTCTCAGTGAGCAACTGGCCATGCATCAAAGTATTAGAGAGGATAAGATTTTTATAAATGAGGTATTGGAGGAGACCATGCTGGGGCAGAGTCATGAGCACTGTAGCTAAATTTGCAGGTGACACATAGCTAATGAAGGTGGTAAACTGCAAAGATGAACAGGATAGGTTACAGGAGAACTTGAACATTCTTGGAAATTGGGCAGATCGATCGCAGATGAAATTTAAGATAGAGAAATGCAAAGTGCTTCACATCTGGAAATGTAGCCACTGTGCTTGTGACTCCTAGCTCCAGATCGTTTATGAAGATGTTAAATAAAAGAGGTCCCAAAATAGATCCTTGTGGAATTCCACTGGTAACATTCTCCCAGCCTGATGATATTCCCTGTACCATCACTTTCTGGGTTCTATCGGTCAGCCAATTACATATCCATTGCAAGATACTTCCTCTGGTTTACGCTTTCTTTATTTTCAGTACCAGCCTTTCATGAGGAACGGTATAAAAGGCCTCACTGAAATCCAAATATACAACATCCAGATATACAAAATTCACAGCTTATAATGATAGTAATAATAATCCTTGCATTTGATGTAGCGCTTTATCACATTGTTGAGACGTCTCAAAGCGCTTCACAGAATAAAAAGTTAGGTTAAATACAGCTGTTTCCACATGGTTTACACAGCTTGTGCGATAGACCTTTGTGTGTTTGGACAGACCCAAAGATTGAGATGAGAAGCTATGGAGCCATTTGTAAAGATGGAGCTCTCCGAGACCTTCTACATTGAAGGGTGCTTTATAAAAGCAGGTGGTTGTTGTGGTTGATTGTATAGCCCCACTGAATTCAAGCTTTTACTTTTCTAACAGTTCCATGGTTATTCGAGATCTGACTCTACGGAGTGCAGCAAGCTTTGGTTCTTTTCACCTAATACGCTTGCTCTACGACGAGTACATGTTTTATCTAGTGGAACATCGGGTGGCCCAAGCTACCGGGGAAACACCCATAGCAGTGATGGGAGAGGTAAGCAACTAGCAGTCCCAAACTTGAGAATGGATTTTGTTATTAGAAAAACACTTCTGGAAACTTTTATCAGTTTGTTTGGAAACCTGAGACAAATTTCTCGAACTAAGAGCAGCGATTTTAGCAATGGCTTTAAGCACATGTTTGATCCCGAGTCTCTGCTGACATAGGTAATCTCAACTGCATTAATAGTAGAAGTGCTGTAATTGACCCCAGCTCTCCTGGGTGAGGAAGGGTACATATTTTTCAGGGTTTGCACTGCAAATTGCATTTGTTGAGCAACAGGTGACGATAGATTTGGGCTTTGCTGACCTCCATTGCCTGCCAACACTTATTGTCTAGGCCCAATTGGACAATGTACAAAGCCCTATTACTCTCATGTTTTTTTTCTACCAACAACTGCAACATGTGGAAGAACAATGCTAATTGTATTTAGATTAACTTCATCGTATTCAGTACAAGTGTGAAACGGTATTTAGATGTCCAAAGGATCGGTGTGGATGCCATTATTTTCATGGCAGATAATGATCCATTGCCATGTTCGTTGTGACATCTTCCCATAACATAGATGGAGTAACGAGGAAGTTACTGATAACAGACATTGTTACACTCAACTCATCTGCAACCAAAAATAAAAAATCATTGTAAGAAAAAAACACAGGGGGTCACAGGACTTTGTGAGTACCGTGTACTATAGAATGTATGTCACCCAACCCAGAATGAAACTGTAGCCTTAAAAGAGAAAAGATTAGAGAGGGAATTTTTAAATGAAAAATTAGACTGATGAGCCTTTTTTAGCCACTGTGGCACTCCTTTATAAAATAATAATACTAATCCTTGCATTTGATATAGCGCTTTTCACGTCTTCTAGACGTCTCAAAGTGCTTCACAGAATACACTGTAAAGTGAATTGACTGTATATTTGTGGGTGAAAGGGGAAAAAAATAAGCACTGTGGAATAGATTACCTCTTTATCTTTTTTTTAAAATCTTTCCCTGGATTTCAGAATTTATAGCTGTAAACAACACTGCATTTGTAACACCCGCAGATCTGAGACTCGTGTTTCATAATTGTAATGTCCTTGTGTTTCAGTTTGCTGACCTCAGTGGTATGTCTCCAAATAACATGGATAAAGGTAAGCAGATAATAGGCAAATGTTTCCTGCAGAGCACTTGAGTCAGGCTTCAAATTGCCACCACTTCCACCTCCCGTTAAAATGTTACATATGTAGCTGAAACATTTTGACATTTAAATCTACTCAATCTCATAGAATTTGTGTAGATATCAAAAAGCAAAAATTATAAGGGGATTGTGAATGAGATAATAAACTAGTGCTATAATGGCAAGTGTAACTGTTCTTTCATGAGGGTTCGACAAGTCGTGATTCATGAGTATCTTTGGCACAAACAAGTTGTAAAATTCAAGGAATCAAAGTAATGCGTTGTCTGTCCTCCCGTTGGGAGGACATCCCAGCGCCTTGGGACGTCCTCCCAACGTGAAAGGCGCTCTATAAATGCAATCTTGTTGTTGTTGTTGTCCTGTTTATTTTATCATGTTAGTCCAGTGGTTGTAGAGTAAAGTCTGCAATGTTTAAGCCTGCATTGTGTTAGTCTACACCGGTGCAACCAGCTACTTGGATGGCAGTGCTGCCCTTCCACGAGTGGAATGTTCCTTTATAGACCTGGATCACCACCATTTTTGTTCTCCCTGAAGGTGATTGTCATAGTGAATCTTAGGTCTGCGAGTGACTTTTAAATTATTTTATTAGTAATAATAATAATCCTTGTAATAGTGCCATATTACGTCTCAAAGTGCTTCACAGATAGACTCTGAAGTGGATTGATTGTGTATTTTGTGGGTGAAATGCAGCAGCCAGTTATGCACAGCAACGTCCCACAAACAGCCATAGAGTGAGTGACCTTTTTTTTTATTTTGGAGGATTGTTGGCCAGGAAACCGGGAAAGAGAAACTCCCTTCTCTTTTTGAATAGTGCCATGGGATCTTTAACATCCACCTGAACAGGCAGATGGGACCTTGGTTTAACATCTCATCCGAAGGATGTTTTGTTATTTAATATTTCTTTCTCAACATTCTTCCAAAGAGAAGCAACATTTTCTCTTTCCTTAGACAAAAAATAACTTTAGCAACGAAGCTTAGCCCCTCGATCGTTAAAAAGTTAATTTTTAGCAGGGGAGGGGGTGGATTTCTGTCCCTTCTCACGATTAGTTGAAATTTTCTTAAGATAACAAAATGTCTGAAACGCCTCCTTTAGTGGCTACAATCACTATCACATTCACCTCTGCTTCGGGGGAACAAAGCCGACAGCCATCCAGGTCTGAAAAGGAACATTCCACTTCCCAGGAGTGGAGTGCTGCCATCTAGTGGCTATTTATGTTGGTGTAACTACATAATGCCAGATTTAAAACAATGCCAATGTTACTTATCTCGGTACCAAACAATGAGTATGGCAATATTTCTCTATTAGGAATAATTTAAACTATAATTCATAGACATCAATTCACGTCTGTTTAGATCCCTTTTTTAAAACTGTTGGCATCTTGCAATGTAACAGCTGAATGGTGCCGCAGGCACTGTTCCAAATCAATGTCTGTAGCAGAGCAGTGCGAGATGGCAGCCGAGAGTTAAAATGCCACCACCAGTATAATGTTAGTGAAGAGCTGATAAAACTGTCAGCTTATGCTAAAATTATGAGGACTGTCCAGTGAAGCACCTCAGAGCTTGTTAATTCTTTCACATCTCGTACATTTTGTAATCTAACAGCTGAATGATGCCGCAGGCACTGTTCCAAATCAATGTCTGTGTAATGTTTAAAGTGTTCGCTTTGCACCATCTGCAATTATTATTTGCAAGGTAAAGCCGTGTGTGTGCACCTTCAATTGTGTTATTGGAGTTTGGAATAGCCTCACCTGCTAACAGTGTTATCCAACTATCATCTGCTGCAGATAGACAAACTTCCATTTACAATAAAAATGTAGAAGGTGAGATGGGGAACTGTAGACAAACACAGAACAGAGAAAGGGAAAGAACAACATAGGTGGAAGTGCATCCCAAGGTTATCATGTGTCTTGAATTTCTGATGGTTTTGATGTACCATTTAGTTCTGACTGTGATGCTTTCCAGTGTTATCTGAACCCCTTGATGTGTCAATGTGCTGGTGCCTTGTCACCAAACTCCAGACAGCATGTCAGTCCTATGTGTAATGTGCTGCCAACCATCGTCTATCTCCACGTTCCTGTACATGTACTAAGTATCTTGTCTTTTTACTTTCCTCGAAGATGAAGGGAGTGAAGTTGACAGCGAGATGGATGAGGAATTAGATGATTCTGGAGAACCACCGTCCAAAAGAGAAAAAATGGACATGAACCAGACACTCCAAGGTGCCTGCGCTCAATCACCCCTCGACAACAGCATGCAGCAGGACCTTCTGATCCCACTTCATGCTGATCAAATCATTACCAGTGTGTCTAGTGCTAGGCACTGCACCTCTGCCGGAAGCACATACACTGCAGTCTAAACAATGTCATGAGCATTGTTTGATTATTTTTTTTCTTGCTTTTTTTGCATCAAGTTTGAAGTCTGACACTGTACTGGCTTCAGCTAATGACACGACACGTACTGCTATGCTGGAAGTTACTCTGGTACATTAATTGAATGAGTGTATATAGTTTTCAGATCTTTTAGTCCTGTGTTCACGGTGTTGACTGACTGAAGGCGGGTTCTCTGTGGTCATGGCAGATTAATTTGGATGAACTTCTAACAGCTGAAGTTGTTTTGTTCTATTTTTGACTGAGAATAATATATTATATATACTTCAGAATACACTCACTCAGCAGCAGAATTATCTGTAGGTCTAGAATTCAACAAGATCCTGGAATGTCACTGCTCATCCTATTTTTGTTTTGATCTTCTTTGATGGATTGCAGAAGTGATGTTCTAATTGCTCTGTTCATTGCACTTAAAAGGTTCCAGTAGGATTACATTGTCCATATCACTCTTCAAAATAGGTACAGGTGATTGTGTTTTGCAAGGATCAGGTGAATTTTAGATCACTTGAGTAAAACCTAGTCTTGATGAATTCTTTAATATGGGTTATATTTGGGGGTTGAAGGTGTGGCATGGTTATCAACAACAATATTCCTGACCAAAGTGTATATTTGTTAAATAATGTATTCTTGTGCCTCACCACCACATATGCCTCAGATTCTGTGTAATCTTCCTGTTACCTCAAGGATTAGTACAAAACTATTTGTGACTACAGCAACTGAAAGAATTGCAAAATCCTCCATAACTTAGATTGTTTCTGCCCCCCCCCACCCCAACCACACACACACATACACATTCCTCCAAGAAGGCTTTAGATTTTCATGTTACACAATGCTTTCCACAAACAACAAATTATTTTGAGTACAATCACCCCTACTCTACACACACACATACACACTCTTATCATCATCCCTCCTGCCATCCATTAGCCACTGATCTGAACAAATGAGCAGGATGTTCTGATTGATTCTAGTCCTGAAACAATTTACTTCAGTACAACAACAATGTTCTGACCACAAACATTTGACTATTGTACCTAGAAATGGACGAGTCTATTCTCCAGCTTCATGGGCTTGACACTTCTGCTGTTGAATGGTGCGATTTTGAAATATATATTGACTGAAATTGAAAGCCCAGGATTCGAGGCAGTGTTCATTGTTACCAGCCTCCTAAACTACTGTATTTAAAAGCTATCAAATGCATACAGTACATTTCAACAATCTCATGCCTTTGTAGAAAGTTTGATGGAATTTCCCTATGGAACATTTATAATGCTACTGATTTGCATAGATTTGCAGCCATATTTAGCAACTAGTTTAGTTTAATTAAAAACAATCTTCATCAAGGCTGCAATATGTGGAAAAGAAAATGTTGCATTTGTTTTACTTGTGATACTTTCTTAAATTGAGTCTCAGTAGACCAACAAAAAGTATGCTGTTTCATTATAGTCCTATGTACCTGTTAATAATGTTAGAACAGACAGAAGTCAATTCATTATGAATCATTTTGTCTGTTTTGCTGTAGTGTCTTTAGCTGCTATGAAAAGACTTCACTCGGGGTTGACCAATACCAACTGTTGCCAATACAACCAATATTTTGTTTTGGGCTAATATTTAATGCCAGTGCTTTCCCCATCCCCATAAAATTACTTTGTTAAAGAGCTGAGATTTCAAGTCATTTGGACTTCAGTGCTGGGAAATTGGATATGTAGGCTTGATCATAAACAAAGTTGAGAGATCCCTCGATTTAGTTAAAATTGTAAATATCTTGATTTTATTATTTTTTTTCTTTAAGCTGACGTGACTGTGGGTCAGCACCATAACGTCAGAGCTGATTCCAGTCAAAGTATTGGTCGACCCCTATGTCTAACTGTGGAACGCAAGGAATGTAGCACTCAGCATAGTCTTGGCAGCTTTACATTGAGTTTTCTGTATGTTCCGTGTGGCTGTCCAGAATGACTAGACCAAAAGTACTGTAGCTGGCACACCTCACACATACTCATCAATTCTGTAGGAACAGATTTGGTAGGCAGTTAAATGCCACTTCAGGAATGTACGTCAGGGATTACTGTACCTCGGCTATTACACAGTGCCTTAAACAGTTGTGGAGAGAGTTAATTTTTGTAGTTCAGCAAGGTGTGCCTGCTGTTTTTCTATTGCCCAAGGGGAGCTGTGGAAGAGAAGCTGAAGAGATGATTCTTAGTTAAAACCTATGTCTTTGCTCCCATTAAGAATGAGTATATTTGTTTAATTAAGTAATTTGAAGATCTGCAATGATTGGGAATTTTGACACTTTGGAATTGATAAGGAAATAGCAGCAGAGCTAATACACAAGTGCAGAAGTCACCAATTAGTGTTTAATGTTTGCTTCGCTCTTAGATGTGTTGCAAAACCGCCAATGCATCAAGTAACACTTGGTAAAGATGTCCACCAAATCCCCATTGACGAAGGTAGTGCAGATTTTTCATCCATGCAACTGCCTGAAATATACTGGGAGTGTCTTTGATGTTCCTTTTTGTTTCTGGGATTTGGGCCCTGGAGAGCTGGGTGTGCACTGGTGCAATCAAACACATTATAGCTAATCCTCCATTGCATGGCACTGTACAACATTCGTAAATTAACTAGCAATTTTCCCCTCCATTTGCACATGAATGTCGTGTGATTTGTTTTCTTTGAGAGAGAAGGAATAAAGGCAGTTAGTGAATAAACATTTTGCGGTGTTCAGAAACACGCCCACCTATTATTTTTTTAAAAACTGAGATTAAAAATAGCAGAATCTTTACATGTCATTCTTTCCATCTATTTTCAAACAAGGTCCAGATTCAGCGCTGCTCCAATAGACAGTACCTTTAATTAAAGCTGATTCATTCATAATTACTTCCTAAATTGTTGAGGCATGAAGAACAACTTTAAAAATTACATCTTAAGGGGTTCTTTGTTTTTTTTAAATAAGTAAAATGTGGATGCTAAAATAGGTAGATATAATAATTCTTTGTGTTCATCCAAGGCAAAGCTATTGGGAACCTCAAGTATTCAAAGCATTTGTTTCTAAACCAAAATATAATGAAAAATAAATATTAATAATAATAATCCTTGCCTTTGATATAGCTCCTTATCATATCGTTGAGATGTCTCAAAGCGCTTCACAGAATATATTATAAAGTTATTAATATTAGCTTGCTTCAAACAAAGTGGCCTATCATACAGCGATGGATATATGATAGACCCCGATTTTCCCAATGTTAAAAGCAGCTTCGAACAAACATACTCATTCTATTCAATATCATTTATTTTAGTGCTGATCAGCACCAAGAGTTAAGTTGGTTGCCAGACAGTTTCAGCTACCCCTTGGGGAGGGGAGGGGGAGGGAGGGGGTCTCCTTAATTCTGTTTTTTGTGCTTTAAAACCAAACTCCAAAGGTTTGTTTTCTGAACAGATTTCAAGTCTTAATGATATTTAGCCAATTTGGGGTACACTTTACATAGAAATTCTGTCCCCTTCATTCTTCAAAAAAAACGCGCGTTACCGTTTTATGTTTTACACTAACATGCTCATACTGTTCTGGACCAAAATGTGTTTATATGCTGTATCTAAGTGTGTGTCTGTAAAGGTTGAAAAATGCCTTTTTCATGTTTTGTTACCTTTGTCCTTTCTTTCCCCAGTGTTTAGTTTGTTGTGCTGAAGATATATTTGGATTGTAATGTGCAATTTAGAGAGTCAGTAGGGGGCTTGGGGTGGGGCTTCACCTATAGATCCTGTGTTGACAGTAAAATGTAGTTCTGTAGAACAGAACACACACTCTGCTCTGTTTGATCAATAGACTCATTGAACATTGCTGGGGATGGACATTTTACCTGGTATAAAAACTGGAATTGAAGCATGACCTTTGTGTTGCCTTTCAGTACTGAAGGGATAAAGGTCCACTGAATTGTTCTCAAACGTGAAGACTTATGTTTTTGGCAGTAGAAGTGCTTCTCAGTTTGCATGCCTTTTTTATATGCTGCTAGTTAGTGGGTTTTGTTTTTGGTGCCAGTTAGGAAAACCCCATTTTAATTTTCTCGCACTTTTTCCTGCTTATACCATCACATTTCAAAGAGCCACTTACCAAGTGAATAATAATATCAGCCTTTTTTTCAATGATATATAGAACCGAGTGCAACCACATTCATTTAAAGCCTTACTGCAGGAGTTCTTAATGTGCTTAAAATTAACGTGCTTCAACTTTCTTGCCAAGCAGCGTGGAGTGATGTGGACTACAGGAGCACTGAACGGTGATAACTTTGACACAGTCACAACCTTGTGATGTTAATAGTTATCACATCTTTTGAAGTTCAGCAAATACTAGAAGTTCCCAAAGATTTTGGTTCAGCTCGTCCTTGGTGAACGTTTAGGTCATTTGGGAATAAACTGAAATGAATCTACTGAGAAATATAAAAATAAGCTGTTTTCATTTATTTCCGGTTCTCTCATCTCCTGTAACATTTTCGCTCTTCAACCCCCCCCCTCCCCCCAATTCTCGTTTACCTCATGTCCACGAGGTTAGGCAGGTAGCCTGGTCCCAGAACTCTCTTGATATACACTCCAATCCCATCATTCGGAAATATGCAAGAATGCATTGGATTAGCTCTTCCCTCAATTTGCCATTCATTCCCCTGGGAAGCATCTGCCATTCCCTCCAAACAGCCTACCAGATCTTGTGATTTCTTGTGAGGAACATCGGTGACAGAAGGAGTGGTGGAATGGCTGTGGGACCCCCCACTTGATGGCACAGTACAGTAACTATTACCATCCATTTTACTTTAGCGTTCCATCTTCTTAAGGTAAGAAATTGTCCCAAATTGCTTTTAGGGAACTTTCATTAAACTAAAATGTTATCCGAGGCGAGATGAAATCTATTGAAACCTTTTTTTTTAACCGATACAGGTCTTTGGATTTAAAAAAACATCAATTTGCTGTTTACAAAATACGATTG